ATTTGATTCATTTATTTAATTTCCGACTAATTAAAATTTGCTTCCGATCACTTGATTGAGGTGCTTGAGAACACCTTTAGAATAACTATCATTATTATCATCGTTATTATTATTATTATTATTTATTGTTGTTATTATTATTATTATTATTTATTATACTACAACGTTTACATCATTCCTAAATTATTATTTATTTATTTTTTACCCAATAAAATTGATTACAAACTTTATTCTCATTACATTTTTTATTCCTAAAATGTAAATATACTTATTTATAATAGCCAATTGAGGGTTTAGAAATTATTGATCAGAAAAACCAAGAGAATAATCCAGCTCCAGCTCTGGCAAACCACAGATTTTTATGCACACGTGATTATGTTGAAGCATACTCTGCCAAAAGGATTACACCTATACAAGTAAATATATATATTAAAATATGATGTTACTTATAATAAGATACTTTTAACACTAACTTTTTTATCCGATCGTTCTTCATTAAAAAAAGGTGTGCGAGAAATTAATTGATAAAATGATTCAATCGTGTTCTGAGGCGTGTAACCCACCTCTTGATGGTTAGTTTATTTTAAAAGTAATCAATTATTATTATTTAATACATTGGGAATTATTTTTATACCCCAAATTTATTATCCATACCCCCTGCAATATTTTAACTTTGAAAGAATAAATCACAGCGACCACCAAGTAAGACTCGATGAATTTTTTTTTGTTTGAATTCTATAAATTCATAGAATTCAAACAAAAAAAGTTCATTGAATTTGACTTGGTAGTTGTTAAGATATCTTCGCTCAAAGTTTTAAAAAAATTTCAAAATAGCTATATTAAAATTTTTTAACTTTGAGCGAAGATATCTTTGCAACTACCAGGTTAAATTCGATAAAGATCTTTTTATTTGAATTCTATGCATTCATAGAATTCAAACAAAAAAAAGTACATCGTAGTTGACCTTGCGGTTGCTGAGATATCTTCGCTCAAAGTTTAAAATAAATTCAAAATATCTGTCAAAACAAAAATCTGTACTAAATTTTTTTCAAACTTTGAGCGAAGATATCTTGGCAACTCCCAGGTCAAATTCGATGAACTTTTTCTGTTTGAATTCTATAAATCCATAGAATTTAAATAAAAAAACGTTCATCGAATTTGACCTGGTGGTTGCTGAGATATTTTTGCTCAAAGATTTAAAAAAAGGTCAAAACGTCTATCAAAACAAAAGCTACGCCAAAATTTTCTTCAAACTTTGAACTAAGATATCTCAGTAACTACAAACTCTAATCCAATGAATTTTTTTTTTATTTAAATGCTATGAATTCATAAAATTCAAATAAAAAAAAAAGTTTATTGTATTTAACTTCGTGGTTGCTGGGATATCTTTGTTCAAAGTTAGGAAAAATTTCGGCGCAGCTTTTGTTTTGATAGACGGTTTGAACTTTCGAGTGAAGATATCTCAGCAACCACAAGGTCAAATTTGATGAGCTTTTTTTTTATTTGAATTCTATGAATTTATAGAATTCAAACAAAAAAAAGTTTTTCGAATTTACCTGGTAGTTGCTAAGATATCTTCGCTCAAAGTTAAAAATAAATTTAATATAGCTATTTTGAATTTTTTTTTTAAGCTTTGAGCGAAGATATCTTGGCAATTACCAAGTCAAATCCGATGAACTTTTTTTTATTTGAATTCTATGAATTCATGGAATTTAAATAAAAAAATTCATCGAATTTAACTTGGTGGTCGCTGAGATATTTTCTTTCAAAGTTAAACCTTTTGCAGGGGGTACGAATAATAAATTTTGGGAGTATAAAAAATAATTCCCAATACATATCGTACCTAATTTATCATTAACTCTAAATGATAATACGATAATTTTAGGTATATGTCAATACAATAAATAAGATATTATGGCACAAGCCAAAGCATCGACCTCCCGATATAATCAAAACCAAACATTGGGACCGCTTGATGGTGTTCCTGTGGCGATTAAAGATGCGATTGATGTTATAAGTTATGAAACGCGTGTAGGAACAACATTTCTTAATCATGGAAACCCTGCTTCAAAGGATGCGTTTCTAGTAAAAAGATTGAGAGAACAAGGTGCAATCATTATTGGAAAAACAAACCTGCATGAAATTGCATTTGGGTAAGCTTATCAAAACCTAAAAATGTATAGTTTGAACAATATTTCAATATTATTAATTTTTTTTTTTTTTTAAATAGTATTACAAATAATAATCCGAGCACATGTACACCTCGTAATCCTTACAATACCGATCATTATTGTGGAGGGTCGAGTGGAGGTAGTGGGTGTGTTGTCTCCAGGTTATTAAAAAGTTATTCATCTAAAGTTCCCTTTTTTTTTTTAATTCTGTTGCTAAATAAATATAATTATATTTTTACACGATAGTGGTTTATGCCCAATTGCTGTAGGCAACGATGCTGGTGGTTCTATTAGGTAAATATTGAATTGAATGTTAAAATCGAAAAAAAAAAATCAGATAAGGATTTTATATTATTATATGAATTATCGTTTAGAATACCATCTTCTTTTTGTGGAATTTATGGATTGAAGCCAACATTTGGGAGGATTTCTGTAACAGGAGATTGTAAGTATTGTAATATAAAATCATCTAAAGTTTACCGGACAACCACTTTATTTTCCTGACAATTATTTTTCCGACAAATGATTGTCAGAGAAAGTGGTTGTCGAGTAAATGCCGGTAAACCTAAATATATAATATATTGATGACTTACATTTCTGTAACTTCTAATTTATGTCATGGTTATTCAGTTCCACTTTGCCGTTCTATGAGTATGGATCATCATATTTTATAAAGATTGCGTATAATTAATTATATAAAAAATTTTTTTTTAACTCGAACATGCCCTTATTTAGATGTTACAGGACCTATGTCTGCGTGTGTTGATGATTTAGCTTTAGCTTATTATATTATGGCTGGAAAAGATCCTGAGGTTTGTAAATTGGTAACCTAAAATTTTTTTTTTATAATTAGCAATTAAGAAAATTTTTTTTTTTAATGTTTTTATAATAGGATCCAAAAACTTCATACCAGCCGTCACCCACTATTTATGGTCTTTACCTTACTGAAACATTGTCAGATCTAAAGATTGGTATATTCACTGCATGGAATAGACAAAATGTTGACCCTGATATTACATCCACTCTTGATACATTTATTAATGCGTTCAAACTTCGTGGTGCAGAATTTATTGAAATTGATATTCCGGAATTAGAAGATGCTATATCAGCTCATTTAATTATTTGTGTATCTGAATATAGTTCTTCTATGAATGAATATGAAAAATATTTACACTTATTGAGTCATCCTAATAGAGCAAACCTCGCAATATCCAGGAATACGAATGCTTCAGATTACATTAAAGCACAACAAGTTCGTACGCGTATGATGCGTAATATGTCAGATTTATTCTCTGGTGTTAATCTTATTTTAACACCTACATGTGCCATAACTGCCCCACCAATTTATCCTCGATCTTTAAAATATGGTGAAATTGATAATACAGCATTTTCACTTGCAACAAAATTTACATCATTGGCGAATTTTATTGGTACACCAGCCGTTACAGTACCTGCAAGTTATAATGATAAAAACCTGCCAATTGGGATACAATTTATGGCAAAATGGTATGATGAAGCAACATTATTAAGAGTTGCTAAAGCTTCGGAAGAAATTTTAGGAAATAGAAGACGAAGACCTGATGAAAAATATTGGTTTGGTGATTTGTTATAAATTATTAACTTAGGAATAAAAATGTAATGAGAATAAAGTTTGTAATCTATTTTTGGGGGTAAAAAAAACAACAAATAAATAATAATTTAGGAATGATGTAAACGTTGCAGTATAATAATAACAATAGTAATAATAATAACGATAATAGTTAAAATACGATTTTATGAAATTTTGTTAAGTGTATAGACTTTGGACAACGTCAGGGCAGCCCCCTCGAAGTTCGGGTTGATGATCAATGTCACAGCCTCAGCATGCACCAGTAATATTATATGGATCATATCAAAACGATAACGATAATAATAAAAATATATAAGTTATATACTGTATATCGATGTTGAAGAAAACGAACGCTTTATACTTAATGCTGCGGCAGCTTAGGTAGTGATGTCGATCATCAGCCCGAGCTTCGAGAGGACCGCCCTAGCGTCGTCAGACTTTGTCATTGAATGATGACGTTTATTTATTCCCCTTTAAATAAATGCTACTGTTTAAATCGCTATCTTTACATCTTAAATAGTGATTAAAAATAGTAATCTTGTAATTTTATTTATACTTGTGATTCACAAAAAAACAGTCTTTCTTAGTTGTTTTAAAGAATAAAACTAGAGTAGTAATAATCCTTGAGGTTCAAAAATGGGATTTTATACACTAGAAAAAAAGTTATAGATCGATTTTTATTACTCTGTTTCATGCTAGAGTTTTGTATGCATAGTCAAATTTATATTTTATAGTAGAATTTTATGAAAGCCTTACTATATTATGTATATTTTCTGACAAATTAATTACACTTTGAATTATGTAAACGAATTACATCATTGCTGTGACGCCTTGAATTTTATACCTTACTTTGATTCATATTAATCCAACTGGATCCAAGTATTAAGTATTTTCTACAGGGGATCCCCAGATTTCCGGGTCGTAATGGCCGGAATGCGTCGTAGTTAGGGTTGGGGCTAGGGCTGGTTAGGGTTAGTAGGAGCTATAGGCTAAAGTAAAATTATCAGCTGGGCACTTTTCACTTAATGAACGACTATTGTTTCATTACTAAAATTCTTAGTGATCTTGGG